TGTGAATCTAGGGAAGATAAAGTTGGTCCTGCGATAGACGAAAGGGAGGTGACACTGGGCCTGCTTACCAACCTGGTTTTGTGAAGTGGCGAGTGATATTGGTGCAAAAGGATGCAGACAGTGGCGTAGAGAAGAGGGAAGGGAAGGCGTCCAGTGTAGCTGTGAGGCCTCAAGCCCTTGTGGCTGATGCTTTTCTGATACACACACATGCCATTGTGTTCAGATCCAGATAGCTTGAGAGTTCTCGAACTCACATTTTCAAAGGTTCTCTCTCCTAAGGGACTTCTCCAACAGCCTGTCTGCCTTCCATTATTTCATACAGCACAGTGCCCTGGTGCAGTGTTAGTCCAGCTGGCACGCAACCAAAGCCCGGCTGGCTGAGCTGAACTGAGCTGAATTATTGGTAGAGGCCACTCTTCCAGTTACCACCAAGGTCGACTCCTCACTTTTGCCTTCGGGAGCTTAGACAGAGAAACATGGAACCAAATGGCTCTGCCCCTTGCTCTAAGGAGCAGAGTTCACGCAGGACCTAGGGGCTGGGCCATGGGCTGGCCTGGCCTCTGTAGGCATACCTGCTCACAGATGCTGCAAGGATCACGGTGTCTGAAAATGACTGCTGAAGCATTTGTTACGTTAATGACTTTCCCAAGTAAAACCGGCTGACTGGCTTTACACTAAATTGGACAGGTATTTTGGGAGATGGTATGACTTAAAATATAGGTTTTGTATGAAATTCACTGTGTATGTGTGTGTGTGGCAGAGGGCGTGGTTTCTGATGGCTCCTGAGACAGATGACAGGTATCTTGCAGCAGGAACTGGAGCCGGGGGAAGATCTGACACAGTGGACACAACATAGATGATGCTTTAAAACACAAGCCTTGGATCCAAAACTCAGAAAAGTAGAGGATTCTAGCACAGGTATAGATTTGTATTGAAGATTCTTCTTGCAAGAGCGACTGTACATAGTGTGCTTTTTAAAAAATATTTATTTGAAAGGCAAAGCAATGTAAAGAGAGATGTGGGGGGAGAGAGAGAGAGAGAGAGAGAGAGAGAGGGAGGGAGGGAAATTCTCCATCTGCTGCTTCACTCCTCAAATTCTCACAACAATTGGAGCTGGGCCAGGTGGAAGCCAGGAGCCTGGAACCCAATCTGAGTCTTCCCTGTGGGCAGCAGAGACCTAAGTCCTTGCGCCAACACTAGCTGTCTCCCAGAGCGAGCCTTAGCAGGGAGCTGGAATCCGGCGAGGCGCTGGGACTTGAGCCGGGCACTCAGCTAAAGGATGTGGACATCTCTGCTGGTGTCTCATGTGTTACCTCAAACACCTGCCCCTTGTCTTCTCTTACTTGGCTTTTTCTCCTGGCAGACTGTACAAAACTCAGGAGTGGATGGAGACCGTAGGTCCAGATCTGCCTCCTCACTTTCTTTCCTGAAAAACAAAATCACTGACTCTCTCATAGCAGGCGCTATGTAGCTGAAACTCTGTTCCAACCGGAAATTGTTAACAGGTTGACCTTGTGTTTGGTGTCTTGAGGCACTTAGGACAACGTCATTGCCAAGGCTCCGCAGAGACGGCCTTCCAAGTGGATCACCTCTGTGTGCTGGTTCTCTGCACACCTCCCCAGACCCACTTTTTCTCCTTTTCCAGACTACTAAACTCTCCCACCCCCCAGCTTCCACTTGGGTTTGGCCAGTGGTGTTACTGGCATGCGCTCAAAACCCAGAAGGGAGAGGCACCTGGGCACTTGCTACCCGCTCCTCTGCCTGGTTGCTGGAGGGCATGTGCTTTTTGTGGTGCGGCTCTTGCTGGGCCCAGGAGGCGGCCTCCTCCTTGCTGTGTGCTGTGTGTGAGGCCTGGGTGGTAGCTCCTTCTCACCCCGGCTGATTCCCGGGTGCTTTATTCTATCTTCTCGGTTCTCTTACTCCTGCCCCTGCAAACACCACGCTGGGTGTGCCGACTGTTTCCCACGGGGCCTTTTACAGACATACACCTTTCAATGTCATCCGGAGACTAAGGCTGGACTGTTAGGCATGAGTTAAAGTCGCAGTTGGGATTCTAACACTTCAAATCTCAGGGATTTCTTCAAGTTCATCACAAACCCAATGCAAATTTCTACTGATATGGGTTCCAAAAATGTATTCTGGATGCCAGGAAGAAGCTGAATTCTTAGTCTCGAATTCTCGGGCAGACCCCGTCCTGTGTGCGGGATCCTAAAGCAGCTATCCTTGGAGACAGAGTGAGCAAAGTCATTTGCCTGGGACTTGACCTTGACCCCTATCTGGTTCCTTCCCCCTGAGAGCTGAGCTGGTGTACGCTTGGTCACGGGCCCATTAGTGCCCCTAGACTAAGAGTTCAACTCAAAGCAAACTGAGTGGGCTCCTTGGTGTGTTCCCCCAGGCTCACATCCAGGGCTGCAGAAAGACCAGGCTGAGCCTTCAAACCAATATGCTCGACACTTCGTCTGGGAGGATACCAGTAGGAACTGAATAGGAATTTTTTTTTAATTTCTTTTCTATCTTGACCTAAGTGAGATCAAGTTAAATATTTTTCTAGTTATGTCAAAAAAAAAAAAAAAAAGACAATTAATTACAGAGACCTGAGCTAGTTGGCTCCTTGTGGATAGGTAGAGCGGGTCATCAAGGTCATCCTATATTCTTTTTTTTTTTTTAAGATTTTATTTATTTATTTGACAGGCAGAGTTACATGAGAGAGAGAAAGGTCTTCCTTCCGTTGGTTCACTCCCCAAGTGGCTGCAGCGGCCGGAGCTGCGCCGATCCGAAGCCAGGAGCCAGGTGCTTCTCCTGGTCTCCCATGGGGTGCAGGGCCCAAGCACTTGGGCCATCCTCCACTGCACTCCCTGGCCACAGCAGAGAGCTGGACTGGAAGAGGAGCAACCAGGACTAGAACCCGGTGCCCATATGGGATGCTGGCGCCACAGGCGGAGGATTAACCTAGTGCGCCACGGTGCCAGCCCCCATCCTGTATTCTTGTTCTTCCCTCCTGAAGACTGGCTTTCTAGACAAATGTCCTGCTGACTGCGTCTATCTCAGAATCGCCCCTCGAGGCACAATATGAGAGAGGAAGCCTTGAGCTCCCAAGAAGGTAAAACGGGCTACACTCTTGCTGCAGGGTGCTCTAGGGTGAGACCACCCTGGATGACAGGAACGACCCACTGGGCGCTGGAAACCAGGGGCTGAGGCTGCTCCAAGCAAGAGGGGCAAGTGAAGAAGGAGAGGGGCGAGGGGAGAGAGGCTCAGCAGTCCTTTCTTTTCCAGCACTCTGTGTCAGCGGAGGGGAGAAGGGCACCAGTCGGCGGGCCACGCTGGTAGCGGGAAGGCAAGCGAGTTGATTCAGGTGCTCTGATCCCTGTCACATGGGCTTCTGGGTTTGTGTCGTCAGCTCCCCCTCTGCCTTGGTATTTGCATCTTCGAGCTCGCTGAAATGCGTGATGCTGAACTAGTCTGCACAGCAAAGGTGCATCATCTCTACAACCCATCCCACGAAAGTCAGTTTTTAGAAAAGGAGACCATGGGGTAGCTGCTGTGGCTTAGCTGATAAAGCCGCTGCCTGCAGTGCTGGCATCCCATATGGCCGCCAGTTCGAGACCCGGCTGCTCCACTTCCAATCCTGCTCTCTGCTATGGCCTGGGAAAGCAGTGGAAGATGGCATAAGTCCTTGGGCCCCTGTACCCACATGGGAGACCAGAAGAAGCTCCTGGCTCCTGACTTCGGATCGGCACAGCTCCAGCCATTGCAGCCAATTGGGGAATGAACCACAGGATGGAAGATCTCTCTCTCTGCTTCTCTTTCTCTCTGTGTAACTCCGACTTTCAAATAAATAAAATAAATCTTTAAAAAAAAAAAAGTGGCCGGCGCCGCGGCTCACTAGGCTAATCCTCCGCCTTGCGGCGCCGGCACACTGGGTTCTAGTCCCGGTCGGGGCACCAGATTCTGTCCCAGTTGCCCCTCTTCCAGGCCAGCTCTCTGCTGTGGCCAGGGAGTGCAGTGGAAGATGGCCCAAGTGCTTGGGCCCTGCACCCCATGGGAGACCAGGATAAGTACCTGGCTCCTGCCATTGGATCAGCTCGGTGCGCCGGCCATTGGAGGGTGAACCAACGGCAAAGGAAGACCTTTCTCTCTGTCTCTCTCTTTCACTGTTCACTCTGCCTGTCAAAAAAAAAAAAAATAAAATAAAAAATTTTAAAAAAAGTAAAGGAGACCACATAATTATCCCTTACCATTGTCCCATGGTGGGGGGTGGTGGTGGTGGCGGATTTCTCCTGACCCTTCTTTCCTCCCATTAATCATAGCATCACCAGTCGTGTGTCCTGATTTGAAATTTTGATGGATCAAGATGTCCCAGACGCCTGTGTGGCACAGGCCTGTTTGCAGGTCCTGTGGGGAGCAGCAGCTGGATGAGAACTATGGAAGCAAATCCACCAGTGGTTGTGCTCAAAAATATATCTACTTGCTTCGGCAATGTTACCTATGTCTTAGGGGGCAGAAATGGCTTGGGAGCAAAGGGTTAAGGGGGTCTCACCAACCTAGTGCATGTGGGGGTGCTAAGAAGGATGCAGCCGCCTAGTGCAACATCCAATGGTCTTCCAGGAAATACAAAGCAAGGGTGGCCCCTGGAGTCTATAGAAATCCATCTCCACCTCCTTGTGTTGAGCTACTTTTCTTCTCTTCCATGATCTGGCTTTGTTTTCCTGCCATTTCAAAGGAATCCTCTCTCTGCCTTTCATCTTGCCACCCTCACCAGGGTAAAGCTCATTCGCTTTGTCTCTGTCTAGTTCCCTCTGCTTCTCCCCAGGCTTTTCCCAGTGAGCTCTCCCACCCAAGACTAAAGACTGTTACCCTTTTTATAGTGAGCTGATGCTGATGTTGTGTCACAGGTTTTGGGGAGCAAAGTGAGGCGGGCTCGTGATCGTCCATTTGAACCTTTTAAATGTGGATTTCCCTTAATATCCAAAGAGCTCCAATGAACTGGGATGAAGAAGAACTATTTGACAATATAGCAATTTAATGGAGATCCAAAACATCAAAGAGGAGCAACCAGAACTGAACCTTAAAGGGAAGCATCCGGAACTGAGGGAGAGGTCAGACTTGCCACAGGATAGATTTTTCTGGGTCTCATTAAAACTTCTACAGACAGAACGACATCCTGGGTTCATGGCCTCCCTGGAAGTCTCTGACAAACCACAGGGCCTATTTCAGGCTCACCTCTCTGTGTGGGATGAGCGCCACCCGACACAGAAGTGAAACACCCAAGCTCCGAGGGCGCCGGGCTGCATAAAAGGGGCCAGGAGCCCGGCGCTCCCTCCGCTCCTGGAGGGGTCTCCTCCTGCCCTCACCTCCTCCCCCCATTCCGCCTCCAGGGCTTTCTGCTCAGTGCCTCTCGTTTCAGCTCTTTCCTTCTGGAAGATTCTGCCATGTCTTTACCCCTTGATGGCCGGGGACAGGGGCGGGGGGCTGAGCTCTGTGCGAGCAGAATGGCTTCTCCCTGGGTTCTCTGCCCCTCCCGGGTGCACGGGGCCCAGCTCAGTCCTCTCTCCTCCTCTGCAGCTTCGTCCTGGTTTCTTCCTGCCGCCGCCTCCAGGCAGCAATGATGGCCTCATCGTCCATTTCCTCCTCTTCCTCCCTGTCCGTGCTTCTCCGATACTGGGACCGCCGCCCGGAGGCAAACCTCCCTTCTTCTCTGTTTTCTGTCTTCTCCTTCTCTCCCTCCTCGTCAGACCTCATGAAGCTCTGGGTGAATTTCCGCTTAGCCCCAAATTCGGAGAAATCCGACTTGGAGGACTCTTCCACGTCTTCCCAGTCCCTGGGCCTGGCCCAGCTGGGGCGCGGCAGCTCCGGGGACTCGGCCCCTTCAGGGGGCTCGGGGGTTCTGCGGAAGAAGTAGGGCTCTGGGCTCGCCTCTCGGGAGCTTGAGGTCTCGCTGAAGGTGGATCTGGAGAACTTGTGCGTCTCTCTGCCCTCCTTGGTGGAGGAGGCAGAGAAGCGCGAGGAGCTTCTCACAGAGCTGCCGTTCGCCTCGTGGTAGGAGGTGGTGTCCTGCTCCTGGGACTGGGACTTGGAGAACTTGTAACTGGACGATTTGGACTCCGTCTCCCGGAACAGGGACGATCGGGTGTACTTCCCCCGGGAGCTCCCAGACCAGTCGCTCTGGGGAGGGGACTTCTCCTCTGTCCCAAGGCCACTGAGCCACCTGCTGATGCTGCTGTCCATCTCTCTGCCAGCTCTGCTGCTGTTTTCATAGTGGTTAGAGACAGCCAGCGAGGAGGAGGCGTCTGTCTCGGGTTTTTGGGAGTTGCTGCGGGAAGAGTATCGGAAGCTCCCGATGGCACTGTCAGTGTCCTCATCCCTGTCCCCCAGGACGTCGTCCTCTTCGGCCTTGACCTTCTTCTTCTTGAAAAGGGAGCTGCGCTTGTTGTCTGAGGCCAGCTTTTCCACTTTGTACTCGGACATCTTCTCACTGAGCTGCGCCTGCATCTCCCTCTCCTTCCGGCCGAGCTCCTTCAGGTCCACGTTGTCAGCGAAGAGGCTGTAGATGGGCTTACTGGTCCCCCTCACTCTGCCCCCAGTGCCTTCAGCCCTGGAGCCCAGCGCAGTGCTGGAAGACAGCACTGACTGTGTGTCGGAGCTGGGTCTGGCCTGGCTCTGGGGCGGCAGGCAGGCCCCCAGGGAGGAGCTGCTCTGGCCGCTGAGCATGGACACTTGGTCATCCCCCAGGCAGCTGGCCGCTGGTGCTGCCGCCTTGAAGCTTGCCACGGATGGTGGGCGGGACAACAGCAGCATCTCATTTTGCTTCTGGGCGAGGGTCTCGCTGACCACGTTGGCGATCCAGTTCTGGATACTGGCAATGGAAATGGTGTCTCCGGGGCCCACGGGCAGGGTAGGCAGGGGTGTGGTGGGGTTGGAGGCCTGAGACAGGTGGGAGCGGAGGCTCTGGGAGCTGAGGACTGACGCTGTGTCCCCGTCAGCGCTGACAGAGGGGGCTGCCGACCAGAAGGCAGACAGGGGGATGCTCCCACTGGCAGCTGAGCTCTCTGCCTCCCAGCCTCCCAGGGACTGGCTCTCCTCCAGCGTCTGCCTGCTTCTCTCCAGCAGCTCCAGCCTCCTTTGTCTCTTCTTAGCCAGGACGGCGTCCTCGCCCTTGCTGAGCTCTAGCACCTCCTCCTTGTTCTCGCTGCCCACCTGCTTCTGATGTTTCAGCTTCCAGGCCTGGTAGGCCGACAGGCTCACATCCGCAGGCTTCCTCGCGCCCTCTGCGTCCACGGCTCCCTGCTCGCTGCTGCTGTCTCCTGCCTCTGAGTCTTTCTTGTGAAATCCAAACTGGATTCTCTTGATCTTCCACCTTTCCAGGGCAGTGAGCTTGTCCTTGTTCCTGCTGCAGAAGTTATAGAAGGAGCTGGCCTCCGAGGACACGCTCTCCTCGTCATCCTCTCGCGCCCTGCTGCCTGCCTCCACCTGCTCCCTCTTGCTCCGGCAGTGGTAGCTGCGTGAAGCTTCCCGCTCGATCTCCTGCAGTCGCTCGTTCCACACGTCCCAGGTGCTGTCGGTGGACACCGAGTCCGAGCGGCGTCGGGGGCCTGGGCTCTGGCGGCCCCTCTGCAGCTGCTGCTTCAAGATCCGCACGTCGCGGCTGCTCAGGCTCTCGAAAGTGCTGCTCTCGCTCAGCGTGTGCCTCCGCCTTCTGCCCACCGAGGAGCCGGCCTCGCTCTCCTCTTCCTCCTCCTCCTCCTCCCGCCCCCACCGCCGGTGCCCCTGGGCTTGGTACCTCTCATTCCGGCTCTGCCACTCCTGGATGAGCCTCTCCACGTCTTCGTCCTCCGCATCCCCGTCCTCCGGCTGCGCCCCACCCTGGCCGGCCGAGGCTGAGCACCTGCCGTCCCCGCCCTGGGGGCCTTGGCCCGTGCCTAGGCCCTGCCCCCTCTTCCAGGCCTCATAGAGCTTCTCCTCTTCCTCTTCGTCGATGAGCGTCGGGGGCTTGGAGGCCCGGCTGGCCTTGCCCAGGGAGGAACCGCTCAAGAGGCTGGTGATGTCGTCGTCCTCCTCCACGGTCAGGGCCTGCACTCTGGCCCCCAGCGTGCTCCCTGCGGCCCCGTCCGAGTCCGCGTCCGCGTCCGCGTCCGCCTCGTCCTCGTCCCGCTCCTCCATGAGCTTCTCGTTGAGCTCGCGCAGCTGCTTCAGGAAGCCTTCGTTGGGGCAGATGGGCCGCTTCCGGCGCAGGGTGAGCAGGGCCTCCAGGATGGCCATGTTGTGGAAGATCATCAGGTAGGCCACCACCAGCACCGCCGAGCGGCTGACGCCCATCTCACTGCTGACCAGGACCTTCCCTGGAAACAACGGAAAACGAGATGATGCAGCACAGGGCCTCCCTCAGAGGACCCCCCCCCCCCCCCACGCCGCGCCAAGTGCTGCTTTGATGGGCAGCCCTTAAAAAGTTCACAGCGCCTCTGCTCAGAGCGCCTCGTGCCCTCCCCACTTTTGAAACACTGGAAGGGGGCCTGCGCCCTGCGCTGTGGCGCAGTGGGTTAACGCCCTGGCCTGAAGCGCAGGCATCCCATATGGGCGCCAGTTTGAGACCCGGCTGCTCCACTTCGTCCAGCTCTCTGCACCCACGTGGGAGACCAGGAGGATGCTCCTGGCTCCTGGCTTCAAATTGGTGCAGCTCCGGCCGTTGCGGTCATCTGGGGGAGTGAACCATTGGATGGAAGACCTCTCTCTCCCTCCTCTCTCTCTCTCTCTGCCTCTCCTCTCTCTGTGTAACTCTGACTTTCAAATAAATAAATCTTAAAAAAAAAAAAAAAAACACTGGAAGGCATTTCTGCTTCCTTCCTAACAACCTGAGGGAGGAGCAATAAAAGAATAGAGGAGGAAGATAAAAAGAAAATGAAGAGGGTCTGATATGGGTGAGTCACAGAGGTGGAATGTCACTGCTGGGGGGCACAGGTTTCAGTGGACACAGGGTCACCAGTCACCAGCCTGATACTTCCAGGGTGGGGAGCTCGCTAGCTCACATAAATACCTGGACTTGCTCCATGTTTGGATTACTCTAATTAAAAAAAAAAAAAATCTATTCATCGGGCCAGCACCCTACTGTTGCAGGGTAAAAGCTGGCATCCCATAGAAGCACTGGTTCAAGTCCCAGCTGCCCCACTTCTGATCCAGCTCCCTGCTAATGAACCTGGGAAAACAGCAGAAGATGCCTAAGTCTTTGGGCCCCTGCATCCATGTGGGAGACCTGGAAGAGGCTCCTGGCTCCTGGCTTTGTATTGGCTTAGAGGATCAGCCCAGCTCTGGCCTGTTTCGGCCATTTGGGGAGTGAACCATCAGATGGAAGATGTCTCTTGCTCTCTGTCTCTCTTTCTCTGTAACTCTACCCTTCAACTGAAAAAGTAAATCTTTTTTTTTTTTTTTTTTTGACAGGCAGAGTGGACAGTGAGAGAGAGAGAGAGAGACAGAGAGAAAGGTCTTCCTTTGCCGTTGGTTCACCCTCCAATGGCCGCGGCCCGTGTGCTGCGGCTGGCGCATTGTGCTGATCCGAAGCCAGGAGCCAGGTGCTTCTCCTGGTCTCTCATGCGGGTGCAGGGCCCAAGCACTTGGGCCATCCTCCACTGCACTCCTGGGCCACAGCAGAGAGCTGGCCTGGAAGAGGGGCAACCGGGACAGAATCCGGCACCCTGACTAGGACTAGAACCCCGGGTGCTGGCGCCGCAGGCAGAGGATTAGCTGTGGTGCCGGCCTGAATAAGTAAATCTTAAAGAAAAAAAGAAAACAAAACAAAAAAATGCATTAAGGGTTTGGTTGCTGGTGCCATGGGTTAAGCCACCAGTTCATCCCATATGAACACCAGTTGGAGTCCTGTCAACTCCGTTTCCAATCCAGCTCCCTGCAAATGCACCTGGGAAAGTGGGGGAGGATGACCTGAGTGATCGGGCCCCTGCACCCACGTGGGAGACCTGGAAGAAGCTCCTGGCTCCTGGTTTCCACCTGGCCCAGCCCTGGCTGGGGCAGCCATTTGGGGCGTGAACCAGCAGATGGAAGATTGATCTCTCTCTCTCTCTCTCCATCTCTTTTCAAACAAATAAATAAATCTTTAAAAGAATTCATTCAGATGTTAGAGCAAAATGCAGACTTCTGTAATAGTCATCTAGTGCTCCTATTCTGACATTCTGGGGCCAATAATGAAACTTCTGTACAAATTAGACCTTTAATAAAAACTTTTAAAGAGATCACCATTACATTCTTACATATTTATTTCTTTTCCTGGGTGTTCTGAGTCTTGCAATTACTGTCTAGACATCTTTTCATGTTTCCTTGCTATTCAAGCCACTCTCCTCAGGTTAAGATTGCATTTCTCAGTTTTTTCCCCAAGGAGGTTGCACCCAGGGTGGAGCAAGATATTTCCGGTTTGGACCGAGTCACACACAGTCCAGTTGACCCCTTATCACCTTTGTTCTGGGCGCTGGGCCCTCACTCATGTCATCGGAGCTTGCAACATGGATGTATCTGTCATATGATAAATGCATATTGTCTTTTCTGTCAACTCTATTAACTTTCTATCAAGTCTCTAAAACTTAAAACACACACACACACACACACACACAAAACCTGCCACAAAGTCATGTCTCTCTTTTCTTGCGGCATCTCTTCAACACAAGGATCGTTTCTCAAGTTCCTGTGAATGTTTTTGGTAGATGTGGGCTGGGCTTACAGCCTACAGATGCACCTGCCGGTCTTGACTCTGCCACTCAACACATTGGTTCTCCTCTGGCCTGGCCACTTTCTAAGTGTGACAAACATGCCTCTGTGCCTTCACTCTGATTCCCGTTTATACTGCAGACTGGGACCACAGGAGACTGACCTCCTCAGCTGTCACCAATCTATTTGCAAATAATCTAATTTGCTCAATTGAGCAAGAGTCTCACTGAGCGCCATGAGATGGAAGCGGTTCTTTTGTTGCTGTATGTTTGCATGAGTTAAGGTCCTGCCTTTGTCCCACAGGCCATGGAGACGGGGATTCCAGGGCAGATGCGGGAGAGCAGAGCCCAACAGTGCTGAAAGGTGTGACGCCGAGAGCCAGCAACCACTGCAGGGCAGTAACCCATGCCCGGCAAAGCTGCAGAGCATCATCTACGTTCCCTTAACTCAGCCCCTTGCACCTCCAGCTCCGGGCTCCGCTCTCCCTCCTCCAGGACCGCTCCCCTTTACCACATGGCCGGGCCCCAATCTGCTGCTGTTAGGACCAAAGTCTGACTCTTGCTTTGGAGATGGTGTCGCCAGGTCAGTCAGCTCACTTTAGGGCACTTCAGGACACGACCAGCCGGTTTTTGTCACAAGGGCACCAAATACAACTTAAGACTCAGTCTGATAGCAACCGGTTGGGGTGCTATGTTCTTCCCTGCTCCCAGAGAGGAGCCTCAGGGCAGCCCAGGGGACAAGTGGGAGGCTGGGTGGGGATTTTCTGTTTTCTCTCTGTGAAGTTCAGGGTTCATGCTGATGTAAAGATTTTTCTCTGCACAACTCTAGGGGGTACCCTTTGCATTGAAGTCAAAATATACTTGTTTGGGTACGATGAAAATTTCCAGCAGTGAAATGGTTTGGGGAAGGTGGCTTTTTCCTGACTGGCAGGTGACAGCAGGGTTGCTTGGTTAAAGGATCCATCAGTGAGTTAACAGTTTGGAGTCAGGACAGGCATTTGGCTGCCACTTGTGAGACCTGCCTCCTTTCTTGGAGTGCCTGGTGTGAAATCCGAGTCAGCTCTGCTTCTGATCCAGCTTCCTGCCAATGCACACTCTGGGAGGCAGCAGGTGATGGCTCAACTACTTGGGTTCCTGTCACTCAAATGGGAGAGCCAGATTGAGTTCCGGGCTCATAGTTTCCACCTGGCTCAGCCCCAGCTATTGCCAGGCATTGAGTAGAACACCCTTGCTCTTTCTTGGGTTGCACTTTTCCTATCTTCTGGGGTCACTGGGATTGTCGTTTAGAATTCCCAGTGCCAGGTGTCCCCATGCCCTCTTTTCTGGAGTAGAGGAAGCAGCAGAAGCAAGGCTCAAGGAGGAGAAGGCTCGGGGTTGCTGACAACTGCTCTGCCCTGCAGTTGCGTCTCCCCGCAAAGGCATAGACCAAAGTGACAACGCGTCCTTCCTTTGGCTGCCTGGTGGGACAGTGAGGCTGAATGGCAGTAAGCAGGGAGGAGAGGCCTGCAGGCCACATAGGACCATGAGTCTGGCACCGCTGGCTGGCCCCTGGCTACACATTTCTGCACCTGCCATGGGCATGCTGGACCCCTGGGTAGCTTGCTGCTGACGTCTTGCTGTCCTGGTGACCACTCCATCTCTGCCCCTGGGTTCGCTCTCATTTCTGGGGATGCACACCCAGGATACTGCAGGGCCACAGCCCTGCCTACAGCGCCAGAGTGAGTAACATTATTTTTTAAATATTTATTTATTTATTTGAAAGAGTTATACAGAGAGAGGAGGAGAGACAGAAAGAGAGAGAGAGATAGAAGGGGGAGGGAGAGAGAGAGAGAGAGAGAGAGGTCTTCCATCTGACGGTTCACTCCCCAATTGGCCACAATGGCCAGAGCTGTGCCGATCTGAAGCCAGGAGCCAGGAGCTTCCTCCCGGTCTCCCATACAGGTGCAGGGGCCCAAGGACTTGGGCCATCTTCTGCTGCTTTCCCAGGCCACAGCAGAGAGCTGGATCAGAAGTGGAGCAGCCGGGACTCGAACCGGTGCCCACATGGGATGCCTGTACTGTAGGCAGCAGCTTCACCTGCTACACCACAGTGCCAGCCTCAATAAATATAATTTTTAAAAATTCCTCTTCTCCCAGTTTTCCCACGGCTAGCTCCTTCTCACCCCTCAGCTTACACATCCCATTCTGTGAAAGGCCCCCCATCCACCTTCTGCTAGGAGCCAGCTGGTCACCTTGTCTGACATTTTTCTTTCTTTCTTTCTTTTTTTTTTTTTTTTTTTTTTTTTGGTTTTCCTTTCTTCCTTTCAAAACAATTTGCTCTCCCCTCACTATAGTCTAAGGATTCAAAGGCCGGACACTGCATCTTTCACCCAGTGCCTGGAACGGTAGCTGGCCCGGGTTAAGCCTCACTTACTGGATGAAGAATCACCCTTTCCTTTCTCCTCCTTTTAGGGGAAGAACACCCTGCTCAAGATCGGTTCCCTCCAAACACGGCAGATAACCAGAGGGTTCCATCCTGCTCCCCACGTGACTTCAGCCCCAGGGGAATCCCAGCAGACCCCCCCCTCACCTCTATAGGTCAGCAGTGCTTCATCCAGGAACTCGGCCGCCTTCCGGAAGTGCTGGGAGATGTCCACCTCCGGGAAGTCATCCACCTCCACCCCCAGGTACTGGATCTCCAGGCCAGTGTAGAAGTCAGGGCCAGTGTAGACGCCTGTGCCATGCGCGGCATTCAGGATGTGGGTAATTCCCAGGCGTTTCAGCCTCCCCTTGTTCACAGCCACGCTCCTGGGGCAGAGACAGGGATGTGTTTGCCGGAATCAGAGCTAGACAGGTGCCTTACCACTGCGATGGGAGGGGGAAGCCTGGTTAGAGGGTCAGCGGGTGACAGCTGGGCAAGGACCTCCTTCTCCGCTCCCAGATGTCTGGGCTCACTGCAAATGCCGCTGTGAAAAGGGGCAGTGACTTGACCGCAACAAGAGAGAGAAGAGACAGGGAACTGGGCAGAGGAGGGCAGAGTGAAGAGAACAGAACTGATGTGCCAGGGAATCTTTGAGTGGTACAGGGACCTCTAGCTTAAGATCCCATGCCTTGGGGCTGGCGCTGTGGCGTAGCAGGTAAAGCTACCACCTGAAGTGCCAGCATCCCATATGGGTGCCGGTTCGAGTCCCGGCTGCTCCACTTCTGATCCAGCTCTCTGCTATGGCCTGGGAAAGCAGTGGAAGTGCTTGGGGCCCTGCACCTGCGTGGGAGACCTGGAAGAAGCTCCTGGCTCCTGGCTTTGGATTGACAAAGCTCCGGCCATTGCAGCTGATTGGGAAGTGAACCAACGGATGGAAGACCTCTCTCTCTCTCTCTCTCTCTCTCTCTCTCTTTCTGCCTCACTTTCTCTCTCTGTGTAACTCTGACTTTCAAATAAATAAATAAATCTTTAAAAAAAAAAAAAAAAAAGATCCCATGCCTTGGGAGTGGCCGACAGTGTCAGACCAAAACAATACACTTAGGTGTCCTTTAAATTGATATTGCATGCTGTATTTTTCAAACTCCTTCCACATTATTTTATCCTAATAATAAACTTAAGAGACAGATTTTTTCCCCCATTTGAAGATTACAAAAATGAATTCAAGAGCTTTTATAATTTCCCAAGCCTGAGAAAGGTGAGAAAGGCTTTGAGCACCATCTGGTGTCTTAGATTTTGAGTTCACAGCTGCATTGACTGCGGCTGAGTGAGCGCAGTTTAGTCTGGAGAGGCTCTGAGGACAGTGCTGCCCAAGAAGGGGTGGGGGCCTTTAGTGGGTTCCTAGGGACTGCGCTGTGAATGTTCTTGGCTCTGCAGCTCCATTTAAGGATCACCAGGGGGCAGAGTTGTAGCTTATTGGGTAAAGCGGCCATCTACAGTGCCACCATCCCATATGAACACCGGTTCGAGTCCTGGCTGCTCCACTTCCGATCCAGCTCTCTGCTATGGCCTGGGAAAGCAGTAGAAGATGGCCCAAGTCCTTGGGCCCCTGCACCTGCGTGGGAGACCCGGAGGAAGCTCCTGGCTCCTGGCTGCGGATCAGCACAGCTCCAGCCCTTGTGGCCATTTGCGGAGTGAACCAGTGGATGGAAGTGCTCTCTCTCTCCCTCCCCCTCTCTCACTCTCACTCTGCTTCTTAAATAAATAAATAAATAAGGATCACTGAAGACCTGGTGCCGGGCTCCGGGAGTCAGGTCCTTTGGGGTGCAGTGTAGCCCCCATGTCCTAAAGCTGTTTTCCCTCCCGCCTTCCCTGGGGCCACAGACCCCCTCCTGTACTTCCGGACATGCAAGCGATTCTATTACGAGGACACTTCCTGCAGTGGTGGACCGCAAGCCTCACTTCCACAGATGGACCTCCGGGTACCAACTGTGCATTGGCAAAGCCCTGCAGGGACGGAATGCCAGTAACATTTTCTGACCTTACAAACAATAGACGGCTACTCTGGGAAACTCGTTCGACTCAAAAGCAACTCAAAGCAGCCCAGGACAGCCACCTCCCAGAGAGCTCTGCTCTGCACACCACGTTTCTTTCAAACGTCTTGGTCTTGGCTTTGGAAGAGCGCAGCACAGACCCCAATATCTCCCTCGGTTAGCGTCGCACTGGACATGTGCAGCAGTCGTTTGGAATCTAGTTTCCCTCTCATTGTGCTGAGCAGATTCAAACGCACACCCGTATTGTCAGTGGCTCCTCGTGTCCTGAACAGGCTGTCACAGGTGTCACGGGATGGTCACACTGGGGAGACAGTGGGGCTGGCTGGACTCTGGCAGGAAGGGAGGCCCAGGGAAGGCGCCTGGTGGGGCAAGGCTGTACCATGGAGCCCAGGTCGGAGCAGGAGGGCAAGCATTGAGGCCTGCATTTTGCCTGGGTAGCTTTGTGCCCAGGTGGACAGGGTGAGGTGGGGGTGGAGGGGGAGCTTTCTCCAAGGCCCAGGCAGGGGAGGCGGCCAGACAGCCTCAGTTTGCTAGGTGGACTAGGGTGGGGCTGTTGGTCAGAGCTGGAGGTATCTCTCTCTGGCACGAACCAGAGTGGTAGGGCAAAGGGGGGTGCCCCCAGCAGTCAGACTCACTTCTCAGCAATGAAGATATTGGGCCAGACCTCATCCACCTCATTCCGGGGGGCCTCTTGGCGGTCCTGGAGCAGGGCCCGCTGCAGGTCCATGACGCAGGGGGTGTTGTACAGGCTGGTGTCGTCCATCTTCTCCCTGACGCGGTTGTACAGGTCCTCCACCAGCAGCTGCTCTGCCGACTCCAGCATGCCCGGGCATTCCGCCTCTGCTCTCAGCCCCCGAGGCTTGAATTCTACACGGGACAGGGTCACGTCAAAGGGTTAGACGCCCTGCCTTCCCTGCTCCCTGGGGCACCCAGTACATGGACTGAGTGTGGCAGGGTTTGCCAGGAAGGACTCGATGGGGGTTCCGGGGCCCCCACTGCCTCCACCTGGACCCCTGTATTCAGTTCTAGCCCCAGGTTTACATGGGCATGGGTGAAGGGAAGCCAGCTTCTCCCTCCCATCTTTCTCTGCAGTTGACTGATAATTTTAAACTTTTTAAATATATTTAAAAGGCAGAGACACAGAGATAGACAGAGAGGGACACGGAGAGAGAGATCTTCCATCTGCCGATTCACTCCCTAAACATCTACAACAGGCGGGGCTGGGCCAGCTGAAGCCCGGAGCCCAGAACTGAATCCAGGTCTCCCACAGGGGTGGCGGGGACCCAAAGAGTTGAGCTATCACCTGCTGCCTCCCAGGGTGCACCATCAGCAGGAATGTGGTATCAGAAGCAGAGGCACGACTCACACCCAAGCACTCTGAAATGGAACACGGGCAGCCTCCGCGGTGTCTCAACTGCTGCACCCAAACCCTGCCCCTGATGGCTTTTAGACCCAGGTCCTTATCTACCAGGTGTATGTTGGGTTCATGTTTACCTCTCCCACAGTGCCCAGGACAAAGTGGATGCTCAGGAGTGTTTACTGAAGGAAGACTTGGTGCTCCTCCCTAACAGAATGCGCTCTGTGGGTCTGCCTCCTTTACAGATGGAATGCAAATAACCCTGGAGGGATAAAACTTCCAGCAGCCACTGCACAACATAGCCTTCTATTATATGTTTAAGTGGCTTGTGTATTCCATTTAGCGTCTTCTTCCCCACCACTGGCGTGTAAGCCCCTGGGACACGTCCTTCCGGCTGTCACACAAGTGGTGCAAGTTTGCCCTTAGTCCCATGACAGGACAACAGGTCGGAAAAGCACACACATTCCAAATGAACTCAAACTCCACTCACCCCCACCTGGAGTGAACCTTTTTCTCCTCCTCATAATATTTTTGTTCAGGGGCAGGCATTTGACAAAGTGATTTAGTCTCCCACTTGGGATGCACCCCAAATCAGAGCGCCTGGTTTGAGTCTGGGTTTTGCCTCCAATTTCAGTTTCCTGCAGGTGCACACCCTGGGAGGCAGCAGATGATGGTTCAGGTACTCGAGTTCCTGTCACCCATGTGGGAGACCCAGATGGTGTTCCGGGCTCTGACTTCGGCCTGACCCAACCTTGGCTGTCGCAGGCCGTCCCCGGGTGTGTTGAGTCCACCTCCCTCCCTGCATGGCTCCCCCCAGTTAGCTCTGTTCTCTGAGGTTTCTGTCGAAGCCCTTTTGCACCTGCCTGAGAGCGAGGGTTCCACCTCCCCCTGTTGTTACGAGCGAGCACAGTGGTGATCTTAAATGTCGCCCAGTAAGTGTTTCTCTCTGTACAACATGGACTATTTTTCCTCCCCTCACAGCCCTTCAGTCACTAAGGAATGAAATGTAGGCTTAATATCCCAGAGAAGGAGAGAGCAGGTAAGATCTAGAATATTAAAACGAAACTGCTTATTTTGGTTTCAGCCTAGACTTCGAATGTCTATCGCATTCTTTGACTTGAAAGGAAGAGAATTTTTTTTTCACTGAACTTGTCCTCAGTTAACAAAGCCTGGAAAGTGACCAGAGAGTGGAGCACAGAGCAGAGAGGGTGCATGACGGGAAGGCAGAGAGGTTGCCAGCCAGAGGCAGGAACGGAAGGGCAGGACCTGGAGCAACTCAGAGAGAGCTGGACCAGGGTGAAGCCACCACCTGGGTCCAGGAACCCTGGGCTGGCTTAGAGCAAGACCACAGACCCCCAGGTAGGGTGAAAGAACAAATAAAAAACAGAGGGGGCTTTGAGCAGACGGGGACCTTCCAGGGTGCCCAGAGCAAGCCACCAGCAACTGCAGATTGAATTCTGTGAGGAGCCAACGTGTCCTCCAGGGACCCTGGTGGGGACCTAAGGGAGACCTGGGTTAGTGTGAGGAAGGAGTAAACAGCATGATTCTTGGGACCCAAAGCCAGGGGAAGGACTGTGGCCATTGCAATGGATACCGGCACTAAAGTCAAGGGCTGGCAGGGTCTTGTTTCATAAGCAGTTACTGCCTTGTCCCACCCCATCCTGCCAGAAGTGAAGGGGGCACCCTGGGAGCAGGGAGGGGAGAGAGGAAGGAAGAAATTGTGAAAAAGCCATTTGTTCAAAATTGAGTAAAAAAAAAAAAAGTACATTGGGGCCAACGCTGTGGTGTAGCGGGTAAAGCCACCGCCTGCAGTGCCAGCATCCCATATGGGTAGCAGTTTGAGCCCCAGCTGTCCTATCCAGCTCTCTGCTATGGCCTGGGAAAGCAGTAGAAGATGGCCCAAGTCCTTGGGCCCCTGCACCCGTGTGGGAGACTCGGAAGAAGCTCCTGGCTCCTGGCTTCGGATCGGCGCAGCTCCGGCCGTTGCGGTCATTTGGGGAGTGAACCAGCGGATGGAAGACCTCTCTCTCTGTCTCTTGTTCTCTCTCTGTGTAATTCTGCCTTTCAAATAAATAAGTAAATCTTAAAAAAAAAAAAGGCAAGTACAGCCAGTGAGGATGAATGTCCTGAGTGACATGTAGTATGCTGTCTACCCCTAATGAGTCACTGCTTACTCTCCCTAGCTCTTCCGCTTCCCACATCAGCTTGAAGACCAACTGCAAGCATGAGTGGCACTGTAGACTTTTGAGCAGAACTCCCTGGGTCTCCTTAGTCATTTGGGCTCCAAGGTCTGTGTCTCTACCATGAGCCACTCCAGGACCCCTAAACTTAATTAAAAACAAAAACCTGTCCTAGAATACAGACCGGAGCTGCTTCCCAATGGTCAGACTAGACAACTGGTCTCCCTGCTGCTTAGTCATGTCCACCTCTGCCCCACCAATGTTGCTTAGGTGGGCTTGGCAGCACCGCCCGCATTGAGCCTGCTTGCTCCTCTTAATGTCATGAGCAGCTCCAGAGCAGCACATTCGCACCTTCCAAGGGGGCTCCCCCTGCCAGGGGCTCCAGGTGCCCCCCGGCCCCTCCCTGACTGTGTTACCTTCGTTGATGATCTGTTTGGCAGCCACAGCAGAGGAGAGGTGAATGGGCTCCATGAAAATGCTCTCTGTCTCTGCGTCGGAGACCATCGAGCGCCTAAGAGGAGAGGACACGCGCGTGAGAGGAGCCGGGCAGCGTGGGAACGGGAGGTGTTCTTTTTAGATGGGGACGCTGCACCTGAGCTTAGCCATAGGAGGAAGACGCGGGAGATGAAGGGAAGGGTTTCTCAGTTTCAGGAATCTGGGAATGCAGGAGAGGCACAATTGCCCAGCCATTTCCAGACCCGCGTTGGCACCTCTGTGTGGGAGTGGATGTGTAACGATACAGAGCATCAGTTGTGGGTGGGACCGTGAATGGGTGTGGTTGGGGGAGACCCACCTCGTGTGGCTTCACTTACTTGCATGTCCTATTGTCCATGTTCCCCTCTTGTCTCCTGTTCCTCTGCTAGCAATAATATGGGATGTCCATGACTGTGCCTCTATTAGAGTTCTGCTGGATTGGTGGGCTGGGTGGTTTGCCACAAGCCCCTCTACTCCCCATGGTCTTCTCCCTGCTTATGCGGCAATGAGCTAACAAGAAAGGCCTGGAACAGCAGCAAGTGCAATGCTGATGATGTATATGGGTGCCCAGGTCCTGACTCTGAGTGCGAGAAACCAAGGATCAGACTGAGCCTAGGAAGGCAATTAAACACCTTGAGTAAATGTCAAAGTGGCTTCTACCAAAGAATTCTGACGCCGTATCAAGGAGATTTGGAGGAGCATGGAGAATTAGGGTAGAGACTAGTGTTAGGAGCACACTATAGTCCACTAGTGAACTTCTCCCTAGTGGGTACTCCTGTTTTCCTGGTGTTGCAGTGAACTTTGAGGTTTTTGTTTGTTTGTTTTTTGTCTTTGTCTTTCCTTTAGGTTCAGAGAAGTTAAAAAAAAAGTAGGGAGATTTAATGAGTACCTTCTTAGAATTTAATTCTGACAAACTCCTCACTAAGTAAGTATTAATATTCCTGTTTTAAACATGAGGGAACTGTGGCTCAGAGAGGCCAATAAGTTTGCTCGAGGCAGCCAGTGAATGGAAGGTTTGGGTTGTAAACACAGGGCAGCCCTGCTCTATGTCCAATCTTGTCTTCACTGCAATACACTGATTCCATGCAAACTGGAACAGAGAGGTGAGGGGCTTGGAGGTAGCAACCCCAGTTGGATTTCCAGGCCCACGTAGACTTAGATATAGAAAAGTGCTTTACAAGTACTTGTTGAAAACAAGAATGGGTAGACGGACGAATTGAGCTGAGTACAAGTGAGTTGAGCTGAGTCCACATGGACTTAACAAAGCTAATTTGAGCTAACGTGGCGTTAAATCAGGATAAATTGATGGGCAAAACCAATTCTTCTACAGGAGGCATCCAGACCAGAGTCCCCCAGTGGGAGAATGACATGCTCAGGACCAGCAAGGTCAAGGACAGATGCCCTTGCTGGAGAAGAGATAGCCTAGGACTCTACCCAGGTGGTCAGGCCTGTCCGTGCAGCCTAAGGGACAGCATGGTCCATCCTTCTCCTTGCCCCATGGTTCCTGGGAGTTTCCTGAAAGCAACTTTGTGGGATCGCTCGGTGGGGTCCCTCCCAGTCTAGCACCAGATCCTCCTTGTGACCTGAAGACGCATTTCCAAGTAAGCATGACTGGAGTGTGGGGGTCGACTCATGGTCAGGTTTGTGGGAAATTATCCCGGGAGGTCAAAACCAGAGAGGTCTTTAGAGGTCTCCCTGCTTGGTGAAGGTTAAAGACTAGCCTCTCTGGGAAGGGTAGGAGTGGCTCTGTAAAGTACAGACCAGGCGCTCTTATTTACTTGCTCCTGTGACTCCAGCCCATGAAGTTTGGTGAGTAGGAGCTTGATGACCGAGTAGTAGATGATGCACAGACAGACGGATGGCTGGATGAATGGACAGCTGGCTGGATGAATGCCTGCAATAGGCTAGGTATGAGGCAAGGTGTCCACACACCACCATAGGGATCCAAGCCAGAGGTCTGCAAGGCCCTGTTCCCTTCCTCCTGTCCAGCCTCAGCTTGCACTGGGTTCTCGCAAACCTTTGGGCCACCCATGCTAGCCCAGTTCCCCTCTGCTCAAGAACTTGCAGGAGCCCCTTTCTGCGGCTTGGCTGCCCCGTCTTCCCCCTTCCCTGCCTTTGAGACCTCGCTTCTTTAGGGAAGTCTTCCTTGATCTTGCACTTTATATGGCAGACACAATTTTACACTTACTTGCGAGACTATTTGATGAATACCTGTCAGACCCTCTGTGAGGGCGGGACCACGCCTGGGCATTGTGTTGATGGTTCTGTGCCCCCATCAGTGAGTACAATGTCTGGCCCAGAGTCCTTGCTAAAGAGATGTTTTCTGACTACCTACCTGACCCCATTTGTCTTCAACAGTACTATATTGCAGGGGTGTGGTGGTGGTCTCAATGATTTGAACAAGATTTATGAAGTATTTGTTACACACTCATTGTGTTACTGGGCTACCCATAACAAGCCTCAAAAGCAAAACCAGGATCTTGGCTATGTTTGGTCTATGTCTACTCTGCCCTTGGGAGGCCAGCATGCACATAGCCTCTGAGGCCTATTGATAACAATTAGCAATTTTTTTAGAGTGGATTAAGGGGGACCCAGATCTGCGACACTCACAGAGAAAGGTGGAGGTCTCTGTATGCTTTGCTTGAATTTGGGTGGTCTCTGTGATGGCCCTGACCTGTAGAGTATGTTGACATGATCCTGGGCCAGCTTCTGAGTCTGAGTCATAAAGGACACCCCCCCCCCCCCAGCCCTTGGCACTCCCTGGGAACTCTGAGCTGCCATCTTAAACATTCGGCTACCCCCACACCAAGCTGCAAGGGACACCAGGCAGCCTGGGGAGGAGCCTCTCAGAGGCGGGCCCTTTAGCCTGTCAGGCCACCCCTGGCTGATGCCACACGAGGCAGAGACAAGATGCCCAGCCACATCCTATCCAAATCCTGACACCCCCACCCCTGCCCCAGAGAGAAGCAAAATAAAATCACTGTCTCCACTCTTTAAGTCTAGGGGAATTTGTTAAGCACCAATAGATACCAGGAACAGTGCTATTCTAAGGGTTCAGAAGTGAGTTTGGTGCAAATGCTAAGGCCTACTTTTTTGCTAGTTGCAATAGAGGATCTAATAGATACTAGTGATGCACTGAACTACAGGTGGTGTAGGTGGGACAAAATAACGCCAACGTGGAAGAGCAAAGCCCTGCCTCTGGACCCAACCCTGCGGACCCTGAGTCTGGGGACTGAAAGCCAGTCTTCATTTTTCAGGCATCCACATTCCATAAAACCAGAGCCAGAGCCTCAAATCTTATAGGCGTCCATGGCAACAATATTTGTTAAGGGAGTTTAATTATGAATAATTAATATGACATCACTATTAATAAAATATTGATCATTTTCTTTATTTATTAAAGGTCAGTATTACGTGAAACAAGATCTGGGGAGAAACCGAGCAGGAGAAATCCCGGCTGAGAAGTCCTCTGCCGCTGCGGGGACCGGAAAGACGTCCTCCTGACAGCCCCTGGTTTCCCCGCGTGCTCAGTGTTCTTTGTTCTTCTGCACCTCTCCGGGGCTCTGCATCCAGAGGAGGCTTTCTGGCCTCTGTAATCTGTATTCCCAGCCACCCACAGGCACTGAGAGTAGCCCCAGGAGGCGCCCTCACCTGTCAGGTGTGCGGAAAGTCCCCACAAAGATCCTGCCCTGACACCATCTACCTAGGAGCTCTTGATCAGATCATCACATTTTCCCCGAAACAGCACTGACTGAGGTTCTGAGGACCTGGCTGTAAGTGACAAGTATCCGAGACAGAAGCTGCCTTCAATGCACCTGAACTCTGAGGCCGTCGGTTTGACAGTGGAGGATTTGAAGTTCAAATTTGAAAACAGAAATGACTGAGAAACTTTGGGTGGAAAAGACTGAACTTTGGCTAATGAACCAGCCAATCTAAGAACCCACACGTGAAGGTCCTGCCCGGTACACACTTGAGAAGGGGGTAGCTTCATCACTAAAAAAAAAAAAAAAAAAAAAAAAAAAGAGGAGGATGCAGAACAGGGTCCTACCACCCCCCTCCCCTAGCTCCTCCCCAGCTCCTGATGCTGCCACTGTGTGCACCAGTAACCTAAGTTCAGTGATACCCAGCGTGGAATGTGCTATGTAGATTACAAATGCTTTTACGAGTCGGCTGCCTTGCAGGGAGATGTACACCGAATAGTCATGCAATTGTTTTGCCGGGGACACAGTTTATTAAGTTAATAAAGAAGAGTGTGTGAGTCAGACCTAACAGGACCCTTGTTTTCCCCAGAGAAGCAGGACTGCAGAGAAAGACAGGAGGAAGGACGGAGAGCGCCAAGCAAGCGGCCCTGTTTGTATTTGCAAGGTCAGGGAGCTGGCAGCCCCGAGGCTTTGATTTATGACCATGTCTGTGCTCCACCCGGTGCACCTGCGATGGAACGAAATGACACTCACACCCTGATTAGAAAGCAGCGAGGGCCCGGCTGTTCACGACAGACGGCCGAAAGAGAGGGTCCAGGATCGATAAGAACCTCATCACAGGATCAGGAAGCAGCCGCTAAGAAGCCTTGAGGGTGAATTGCAAGAGAAACAATAAAGGGGATTCGATGCACTTCCTCAGCGAGAGCAGGAGCCGGTGCAGCCTCCTTTAAACCCACGCTTTTCAAAATTGCACGCTGTGACCCATTAGTGGATCATAAAATCAAGTCACTGCGTCTTGCCTGGCATCTGAGGGCTGGGGAGTTGCGGAGAGGATGGGGCCATCCATTGTAAGGGTAAAGCTTTTTTAAAAAAATGATTATATACATACATAAAGGTACTTCAGAAAAATTTGGAAAATTGAGTTAAAAGACAATCTTATTTCTAAGGAAGATTTTTTTTTGGAAATCCACGCATTTGAGGGATCTTCAAAAAGTTTATGGAAAATGTCTCTGATGAAAAAAACTGCGTGCATTTCCAATTTGTTTGCACCAGAACGAGCCGACCTTTTCATTCCATTCCCAGGCCCTTGGTGACATCCCTTTGCGCGTGAATATAT